AGAGCACCTCAGGGATGTCTGGTTAGAAAGAACATCACTGTTGACTGAAATCTGCTGGGTTGTTTTGTTCCAACTTTTGTGTTTACTGATGCTTTTATGAAAAGTTTCAGCTCTCTTGGATTAGAGTTGTCTGCTGAAAATACATATAATTGAAAAGTTTCTGATCAGAAACAGCTAAAAATTATGCTAATGTGTTTGAAGTTTTCAAATATGACATTGGGCAGCTGAAGGAACCCACAGCTGCAAGCAGCATGATTTTTTTTCTGTAACAACCCAACAGAATGGGAAAACTTATAGATGCTAGAAGAATGGGAAAATTTAAAGGTGCTTGCTTTCTACGAGAAAGCAAGAAGAGACAAGTGTGACAGCCTCTCAGTGATGTCTGATTTGGTTTCAGACAGATAGTTTTGGTACAGGTGCTTAAAATTCTCATTTAACTATTTACCAATTCTGCAGTTTTCAAGTGTACATTTTCTTATTGTAAATGATCTTATTTTACAAACATTAAAAATATGTTCAAATATTTAAAAATTTGGATTTTTTTTTTTTCAAAAGTGTATTTCTGCTTTCAGCTCTCCAAATCCAACTGGACTGAAAGATCAGTCATGATAGAAGTGTTATCATATAGTGCAACTAATGGTGAAGCTGAGGGGTTTGGACAACTAGTACAGTAAAGTTGTCAATTTATATTTATGAAGAGAGAACAAACTAATGGATTTTATTGTTGTTGGATTCAGGGTTCTTTAATTAAATCTTTCCTCACTAGAAAAATAAAGGATTGCCTTACTTTTACGGGATTTTTTTTCTGTTGAGCAATTTTTATAAAATATTTCTTTACAAACAGTTTAATTTACCAGTATTGTATCGGTATTTAGTATTCATGTAGCCTTGTCATCGTAGACTGCAAAGTCTCAGTAAAATTCTTTGCAGGTGTGCTGTGTTTACTGTTGGCTGAGCCAGCCTCCAGAGCACAGGTGCACTTTCCTCAGGGAAGTGCAGGGTGTCAAAGGGAGAGTAAGGAAAGTAATAGCTTCACATGGCTGAGAGGTGATTAATGGAGTCTGTTGGGAACTCCCCAGGGTCTCCAAGAGGGTGCATGGATAGACTTTGTCTTGGGAACATGCTCTGTGTAGGTATTTTGGCAGCCTGAAAATCTTGGGGCAAAGCCAGTTGCTGGGTTCTCTGGTGATGTAGAGGAGGCCTAGGAGAGCAGAGGGAAAGGCTGTCATGTCAGAAACTTGGCCTACTTTTCCCTTTGCCTGAGTTTCACATTGAGATCATGGTAGATAATGGCTTGAGTGAGGTTGTGTGTCTGGTATCCAGCTGCACGGTGAGTGGGAGGGTTGGTCTGGTGCCTGTGAGTCAGTGGCAGGCTCGGTGCCAGGCCCCGGCTGGCATTGCC